ACATTACTGTCAGTTTAGACGTTTAATCACGCAGGCCGAGTGAAAACCAATGCACAGTTTACACGAGGTCTTACAGACAAGGAGCTAAATCATCCTTTATCCTAGATAAGCTCAAGTCACGAGCCCAGACCCTTTTTAATGTTTCAGCGAGATTCCTCTTCGTCAGAGTTATATTTTGTAAACAAATTATGACAATATCTTAGCAAACATATAAGTTTTGAAAGTTAATTTAAGAAAACACTTAATAAATGTGTCCATCTTAATTATTGATTGAGGATCATTTTAATTTGGGGTGTAGCAACTTTTCACATCATGACCTTTAAAATTGGAATAAATATTAATTATATAAAAAAACAACCTTTTTTTTTAGGGTGGCATGATCGCCTCACAGCAAGAAGGTCGCTGGATCGAGTCCTGGCAAAGTCAATTGTCATTTCTGCGTGGAGTTTGCATGTTCCCCCCCTGTGTTGATGCTATATGTGAATTGAATAAACTAAATTGGCCATAGTGTATGAGTGTGTGTGTGTGTTTTAATGAGTGTGTATAGGTGTTTCCCAATACTTAGTTATATATACGCTGTGTAAAACATAGGCTGGAATAGTTGCCGGTTCATTCCGCTGTGGTGACGTCTCACACAGAGACTGAGCCGAATAAATGAACAAACTTATTTTTAGATATCACTTTATAAGTAGATGCATTGGAGCAAACAGAAGCAAATTTTATTTTAAAACATAACATGTAACATAAATATGCAATAAATCCTGAATGCATTAATGCATTATTTTCCATAAAGACAGTTCCATGGCTAAAATGCTGTTTAAAGATATCTAAAAAAATGTAAATATATTTAGCTTGCAAGCCTTAACCCCAGTGCTATTTTGGGATTTCCGCCTGGATTTTGCCTACCCAAATTTAAAAGCTTCCCAAATCTACATGCAGAGGTGTAAATGCAAAAATTTGCTATCATTTTAAAGAGAAAACCCTTTGCATTTTTCTAAAACACTATTGAAAGGGTTTGAAATAACTCTATATCTTGTCTGTGTTATAATAAACCCCTAAAAAAGAGGTGCTTTTTGTATTTTTTTATAAACTCAAATTTGAAAGTGTACCTTTTAGGTTCTGTGTGGTCTAGCGTGCTGTAATAAATTTTGATGGTTCCTGCACATGTCTGTAATCATAGGAAAACAGAAAAATGTCTCCACCATAATCTATGCAAAAGTTATTGTATTCCAACTGATGAGAGGTGCTGTACAAGCCACAGGGAGCGATCATTGTTTTCATATTTCACGATTCTTTTGTTTGATCAAACATAATTCACTGTGTTTGGAGCACGTCAGACATATAAAAGGATTACTTATGCACATCACCTCAAAAACAGAGGAGAATGGCCCTGAAGCGCACAGAATAAGTTAAGAGATGACGGCTGTCTGTGCTATCTGGGGCTGCTTATTGATCATACATGTACTGTTTTCACTTCTGCGCCATGGAAACACCTCGATTCATTCGGCAACTGTTTAATATGTGAATATAATTCAGTAAAAAGAATGCTAGAACTGTATGAGCACCGGCAAGAGCTTTCATTTGAGCTATAACTTGTACATGTGTCATATAAAAAATATGAAAATAAACCAATGTTCAATACCCAGCTCGGGTATCCAAAATACTGTGTATTTAAGTGTATATAACTTTTGTACAGTAGAGTAAAAGCCAAAGTCATGCATATGTGCACAAAATATAGATTCTACACTTTCAAACGAAACCACTTACGGGGGTCTGGTGCAATGCCAGCTCTTTAAATCTTAAAGCGAAAGTCGATGACGTCAGAGACCTGGTTCTGGGTCCGCGGAGTTTGAGTGGTTAATAGTCTATATTTTTAGAGCAAAACTATTGCAAGAGTACAAAATGACCAGTTTAACAAACAAACAAACAAGCTCAGGTAACAATATGTGTTAAAACAAACTTAGAGCCTTCCTGCTTGAAACATGTGACAGTCTGTTATTGAATTTTCTTGTATTTTTAGAGCCCACCGTAGGTGCGTAAACATTTTTCCGGTTTCCATTATTTAGTATATCAACTTTGAACAAATTCATTGTGAAAAGGCTCATTAAAATTGTATTTTACCCTGCCTGGACTGAAAAAAGACACGCAGCACTGCTGGTAACACTTTACCACACGATTCCATTAGTTAATGTTAATCTATTTACTAACAAATAATGAACTATAGCTTGATTACAGTATTAATTTATCTTAGTTAACCTTAGTTAATAAAAACAAGTTCTTGTGTACTCACAATACTAATGTTAACAAGCTCAAATTTACAATTATATAATGCATTAGTGGCGGCGCAGTGGCGCAGTAGGTAGTGCTGTCGCCTCACAGCAAGAAGGTCGCTGGTTTGAACCTCGGCTCAGTTTCCGATTCTGTGTGGAGTTTGCATGTTCTCCTTGCATTCGCCTGGGTTTCCTCTGTGTGCTCCGGTTTCCCCCACAGTCCAAAGACATGCGGTGCAGGTGAATTGGGTAGGCTAAAATGTTCATATGTATGAGTGTGTGTATAAATGAGTGGATGTTTCCCAGAGGTGGGTTGCAGCTGGAAGGGCATCCGCTGTGTAAAAACGTGCTGGATAAGTTGGCGGTTCATTCCGCTGTGACGACGCCAGATTAATAAAGGGACTAAGCCAACAAGAAAATGAATGAATAATGCATTAGTACGTTATGATTAATAAATGCACTAACATCAACTAATGGAGTTTTAGGGTAAAGTATGACAGAACTGCTTATCGGAAATGCCTTTATTATTACCATCAAGGAGATGTTTGACTCCTGAAACACACAAAACTGATTTGTAAGGAAGTGAAGGGATCATGTAAATTTTTTTTTTATAAATGACATGTGTAAATGTATTTGCCCATGTCCTACTTTATATAAACTCTCCGATTCTGCCAGTTTTAATGATTGTTGTTAATCACTACATCTCCTTTTCAATCATTAATTTTCGTTTCGGCTTAGTCTCTTTATTAATCTGGGGTCGCCACAGTGGAATGAACCGGCAACTTATCCAGCATATGTTTTACACAGCGGATGCCCTTTCAGCTGCAGCCTATCACTGGGAAATATCCATACACACTCATTTACACACACACTCATACACTACGGTCAATTTGGTCTACCTAATTCACCTTTGGACTTGAAACCGGAGCACCCAGAGGAAACCCACGCAAACATGGGGAGAACATGCAAACTCCTCACAGAAATGCCGAATGACTTAGCTGAGGCTGGAAACAGCAACCTTGAGGCGAGGTTGAGGCGATCATGCTGCTCACTGCGCCACCGTGACGCCTTTAACTGCTTTTGATAAATTATAAAACGTCTTAAATCAAACATTCAAAGTGTAAACACATTTAGAGGCTGGGATTCAATAAATAAACACACTGACAAAATAGATTAGTGTAGAATTTACTCTGAACCTAATCTGCTTTACTAAATTGCAAATAAATGCATCAAGAGATTGCAAAGAATCTACGTTACGCATTCAATTAATGGTGGTATTTTGCAGTAGAAAGATTGCAGGGAAATTTTCCAAATATAATAGAAATAATAGCACATTTTCTTGCAAATTATCCTTCATCAAATCTTTATTTACAACTTGAAGCAAAATAATATATGCATGATTCATGCCTTGAAAACGTTCAAAGGACAATTATTATATGAAATTAAGATTTTAAAATCACCATTGCACATGCAGGACTGAATTTTAAAGGTTGACATTTAATCTGCAGCTAAACAAACACAGTTGCAATCAGAATTATTAAACCCCATGACATATTACCCCCCCCCCTCCCCCCCACCCCGGTTTATTTTCTTCTCTAATTTCTGTTTAAGTTAGATAATTTTTCAGCACATTAATAAATATAATACTTTTAATAACTCATCTCTATTAACTGATTTATTTTATCTTTGTCATGATGACAGTAAATTAGACTTTACTAGATGTTTTTCAAGACATTTAAAGGCTTAACTAGGTTAATTAGGTTAACTAGGCAGGTTAGGGTCATTAGGCAAGTTATTGCATAATGATGGTTTGTTCTGTAGATTATAGAAAAAATATATTTAGAGAGTTTATAGGGGCTAATAATATTGACCATTAAATGTGTTTTAAAAAAATTAAAAACTGCTTTTATTCCAGCCGAAATAAAACAAGTAAGACTTTCTCCAGAAGAAAAAATATTCTGAAATATATACTCTGAAAATTGCTCTGTTAATCGTCATTTGAGAAACATTTAATATAATTAATATTAATATATATATATAATATTAATACATAAATGATCAAAGAGGTTTTAATATTACTGATTGCAACTGTATAAAGCCAAACTAAAGTGCTAGGGTACAGAAAGAATGATGAAAGCATAACAAAAATAGATGAGTGCTGTGAAACACAGATCCAACATTTGTCTCTCATGCAATATTTCAGTCTAAGAGAGTGAGAATCCAAAAAAAAATAAATAAATAAAAATTGTTTGAAAAACAAATTAAATGAAAAAATAGTACTAATAAAGTACAAATAAACAAATTAATATACAGCTGAGGTTAAAGTTATTTGCACTCCTGTAAATTTTGTTCCTTTTTCCAAATATTTCCCAAATGATGTTTAACACAGCAAGGCTTTTTCACAGTATTTCCTATAATGTTTTTTCTATTTATATTATTTGTTTTTTTTTATTTCAGCTATAATAAAAGGCAGATTTAAATTTTTTAAAATATATTTTAAGGTCAATATTATTAGCAATTTTTAAACAATATTTTTTAGATTGTCAACAAAACAAACCACTGTTATACAATGACTTGCCTAATTAACCTAGTTAAGCCTTTAAATGTCACTTTTAGCTGTATAGAAGTGTCTTTCTAGCCAAATATTATTTACTGTCATCATGGCAAAGATAAAATAATTCAGTTATTAGAAATGAGCTATTAAAACTATTATGCTTAGAAATGTGCTGAATAAAATGATCTCCATTAAAAAGAAATTAGGGGAAATATACAGGGGGGCTAATAATTATAATTCAGCAGAGCAAATAATCAACTTCAACTGCATATCTAAATAAGAAAAATTATGAATTGATGAAAAGAAAAATTGGTAAAAAGCAAAGCAAATTCAAAAGCTGTTGGGCACTAAATAGAAAGCAAGATTTGCCATAATATCTCAGCACAAAGAATGCGCAGATCTTCATCAAACACATATTCGGTGATCAGTTTTGCCATTAAAAAAAAGCAAACTATGAAAAACACAACCTCAGAAGTTCATGTCCTAGCATTAAAGCTCCTTCTGAATCATATGTTATGCATTTATACACATAAGAACTACAAACAACCCAAAAAATGAGCACATCAGAAGAAGTGAACACTGTGAACACAATTTAAACAACAAAATTTACACTATTGAAGATCTGACATGCAACAAAAACAAGATTGACTTTAATCTAATGTAATGAAACAGGTTAAACGCATTATAATGATGAACGTTGGTCATTTGTTTGATTAAAGGCTTTTCAGTCAGATCTGCTGATGAAGATTTTAAGTTCAACAATCAGGATCAGACCATGAGAGGAGGGAGGGAGCGGGGGGGGTTAGAATTTATGTGGCACTAAGAGCTTGGCACGTGTGGCACTGTGGCCGTCCACATGCACTGCCGTCCCAATCTTATTCTGCATGTCAAAATCAATGAAGTCAGATCCGAATCTAAAGTCCCCTCTCCATGATCCTGTGGTTAAAAACGAGTTAAATCGATCGTCCTTCTGCAAGGTGTTGAACCGGCTTACGTCGGAATATCCAGGAGGACCGCAGGTCGGAGGAAAAATGGGTAAGTTTGCAGTGGACCGATACATGTATCTGCGTTTACACAGTCTCATGTAGATCACCGAAATTATAAGCACAAAGAAAAGACTGGACACACCAGCCAAAGCCATTATTAAATACACAATATGATCACTGTGTGTGTGTGACTCCTCGATGCCACGTGCGAAAAGCTCATCGATGACAGGCAATCCATTTTCAGTCATAATATTAACAGTTGCAGTAGCGGAGAACGATTCAGGCCCGTTATCGCTTACAGAAACTATTACAGTTTGCTTAATGTCATCATCTTCAGCAAACCCTCTAAGCGTCCTTATTTCCCCACAATGCAGTCCAATTGAGAACAAATTAGGTTGCGTGGCTTTAACAATCCGATAGGAGAGCCATGCATTGTGTCCAGCGTCTGCATCAACAGCCACCACCTTAGTGACCAAATAACCAGCAGGAGCAGCTCGGGGAACGATATCATCAGCAACGTATCCGTTAAACTGCACCGGATACAGCACAACCGGTGGATTGTCGTTCATATCTGTGATATAGATCCGGATTGTGCATGTGCTAGTAAATGAAGGCCGTCCTCCGTCACGTGCCATGGCCTGTGCATAGAAGTGAGTGGAGGCTTCGTAATCGAACGGACGAATTGTGAATATCTCACCAGTTTCTGTGTTGATGGATAGATAAATGGCTGAGTCTTCTGAGAGGGAATATAATATTCGTGCGTTCTGCCCTCCGTCTGCGTCGTCAGCTTTGATTTTGATCACTGGAGTTCCCCGAGGCTGATTCTCAGCAAACTGGACGGTGTAGTTTGCGTGTCTAAAAATAGGAGGATTGTCGTTTATGTCTGTGACTGTTATGGCTACGGTTTTACTGCTGAATAACGGAGGCGTTCCAGCATCTACTGCGGTTATGGTTATGTTATAGTGAGTACACTTTTCTCTGTCTAGCCTGCCATCAATCACAAGCATGAAGTAATTCTTTACCTCTGATACTAATTTGAATGGCACATTATCAGATAGTTTGCATGTGACGCGACCGCCAATATCAAGATCATAGACGTGTAGCAAAGCTACCATCGTTCCTGGTGAAGCGTCTTCAGGCACTGAAGATGAAGCTGATTTAACTGCGATAACAGGCGCGTTGTCGTTCACATCGATTACGTCTAGGATTAATTTGCAGTGAGATGACTGTCCACCACCATCTTTAGCCTGTACATCCAGTTCATGAGAACTGGCCTCTTCATAATCCAAAGCGCCCATGATCCTGACCTCCCCCGTCACAGAGTCGACCTCCAAAATCCCTCTGGTCTTATCAGGAACGTGACTGAAAGAATAACTAACCGCTCCGTAAATCCCGCTGTCTAAATCTGTGGCGTTTAATTTGACCAGCACCGAACCCTGAGGCGAATTTTCCTCTGCGCTGACTTTGTAAACGCTCTGACTGAACACGGGGATGTTATCATTAGCGTCTAAGACGTGAATGTGAATGGATGCCGTTCCAGAACGAGAAGGTCGGCCTCCGTCAACTCCACTCAGCGTCAGAAAGTGATCAGCTTTGCTTTCTCGATCCAAAGGCTTTTTGAGGACCAGTTCAGGATATGCATTATTATCCATCTGAGTGTTCATCTCCAAAGCGAAATATTCATTCTCGCTGAGTTGATAATGGTGAACAGAATTAGCTCCGATATCAGGATCGCGAGCACTCTCCAGTGGGAAACGTCTCCTGAGAAGTGTTGATTCTAGCAGCTCCAGTTCAATCTGACCGTTGTCAAACGCCGGGCTGTTATCGTTGATGTCTTGGACATCCAATAGGAGGCTGTACACTTTAAGAGGGCTCTCCAAAAGCAGCTGGAACTGCAGGATGCAGTGTACAGACTGTGCGCAAAGCTCCTCTCGATCCATTCGTTCGCTCACTAAAAGCAAGCCTGTTTCAGCTCTCAGCTCGCAAAACTGCCTGCTTTCTTCGGCAACGACTCGAGCGCTGCGTCTCATCAGCTCAGACACATCGATTCCCAAATCTCTGGCCACATTTCCGATGACAGAGCCTTTCCGCATCTCCTCAGGAACCGAATAGCGCACTTCAGCAAGACAACCGCACATGCAAACCAAGCAGAAGCAAAGCTGAGGCCAAAAATGACATGACAAACACCTCATTTTGCAAAATATTAGAAAATGCTTTTAAATAAAAGGGAACAAAAAGAGCGACAGTGCATTCTGAACAGATCCTCGCAGATACTGCTCTCTGATGCCTGCTCGTGTCGGCTTTTTATTTTCATCTCTCTCTCTCTCTCTCGCCTAAAGCACTGCCCTCCCCATCCATCCCTCAGTCTGCCTCTCCCTCCTCCTCCTCCGCTTGCTGCGTAATGCTGATTAAACTGGGGAATCAGGGCACACAGTACAGAACAGATCACTGACTAAGCGAGTATAACATACGAGCGTCACCCTCTGGTGAGTTACAGACCAGCAAAACCCTTTCAAAACCAAATTAATATTAACAATGATAATACTTGTATCAAATAGAACATAGATTAATTTTGTTTTAGGGGACAAACTAAGTTTAAAAATCAAATTACTATTTAAATACCCTTTATTTATGTTAGGGATGAAAACATCCACCGAATTAAACTGCTGTACAAATGCATGATATTGATATTATTTTCACATTGTTTTGCATAAATTTGTTGATTGTTTGGAAAATTTTAGGATTTTAACTCTTTAATTGCCAAATTCACAAATTATGTTACTGATTTGGTGAAAAAAACACACACAGAATGCTGTATTTTCAATATTAAAAGTACTGTGGACTGGATTTTATTTTACCTTTACCCCAGTCTTGGACATGTCAACGATGAGTAACAACATTGTTTTTGATGCATTGTTAGATTTTCATTTTTCTTCCTAATTTACTGTTGGTTTACCCCATTGACTTCCATTATAAGCAGTTTGATGGTGCATAAATACTCAGTCTTTGCTTTTGTTTTCTCCATGTAGTTCTGAGAGCTGAGATGCATATTTTATTTTCCCAGACACATCAAGGTAAGTGCTTAAAGGTCACTCTCACACATACACACACCTTTAATTTGCTGTTATACTCAATATAAAATCCAGAAACTAAGCTTTTATGGTCCCACTTTATATCAAGTGTCCTTAACTACTATGTACTTACACAAAAAAATACTATTGTTACAATGTACTTATTGTGTAAATACATGTATTTTCTCTGTACTTATGCTTGATTAAATACCTGTATGTAAATACATCGTTATTAAATGATGTAATTGCATTTGTAAATACACTGTTGAGCATCTCTTACACTTTAACCCACCCTTAAACCTACCCATACAACCAAACCTGTCCATAACCCAACCCTTATCCCAACTTAAGAGCACCACAAGTGTTCTCAAATACATTATGAACACGGTAAGTCCATTGTATTTATTTTTTGATGCAAGTACATAGTAGTTAAGGACACTTAATATAAAGTGGCACCACTTTTATTTGCACAGGCATTAACTATCTAAATGGCTTATGTTGCCAAGCTTTAATTAAAAGTACAAATGACACATTTTACCTCTTCCCAACAGGGAAAACAACAAACATATAAAATTGCATGATTATATGCGATCAGTTTTGTTATGTAGTTATGTAGTTATGAAAGAAGTAAATGGGGCAAAAACAGACACCAACAGTAAATTCTGGAGAAAAATTATTCAAATCAATCAAAAACAATCCATCAAAGGAAATGTTGTTTTACATGTCTAAGACTTTGATAAAAGGTTTTGAAAAATCCAGTCCACAACTACTTTTGTTATTAAAAATATGTCATTTCGTGTGTTTTTTCCCGCCAAATCAGTGACATCACTTATGAATTTGGCATCTAAAGAGTTAAAATGCTGTCATTTTCTAAGCAATTTAGTAGGATTGGTCAGAGCTGAGGTTGATAAACAGTTTTATGCACAAAAATTAAAAAAATAAAAATATATTTATCTCATGCAGTTTTTACTGCAGTTTAATTCAGTGGATGTTTTCATTCATTACATAACAAAAGGGTAGTAAATTTGCCCAGAGTGTGTGTATATATATATATATATATATATATATATAATTATTATTATTATTATTATTTTTTTTATAATTTTTTTATTATTTTAAACAATTCCTCAAAATATGTGTCAAAATAAGATGTCACAAAAAATCATTCTGCTAGCTGAAGCACAGAGAATGCTGAGGCCAAATTAAGACTCAAAAATCACCCCAGAGTGGATGAAAACACCCCCAACAGCACACAAGGGTTAAAAGTGGATTTGGAAATACCAATAAATAAATTAATTAATTAATCAATAAAGATTTCTTTCAGAAGGACTAACGAAACAGAAAGCAAGGCTTTGTTTAGACCTTTCCTTTTTATATTCATTTACTCTAGAGTTTATTAGGAATATGTATTTAACAAACTCCTCGTAACACTTTTTTTTTTGATGGTCCCTATTGCACGTTTTGTTGACAAAGTTTCATAGCAACTACATGCCAACCAATTCTGATTTGAGTATTAGTCGACTGTCTGCTTAATATCTGCTGATTTGCTCCTTCAACAGACATTTAACTGACTATAAGAAACTTTGCAAGTGCATGGCATTTTACAATAACCCCAAGCCCAACCTAACAGTCTACTTATAATCTAATGAGAATTAGTAGGCATGTAGATGCAGTGTAACTAAAATTTAACAAACTGACCATCAAAATAAAGTGATACGATTAATATTACTTGAAAGAATAGTTTCCTTAAAAAATCTTCATCATTTACTCGCACTTGCTTCAAATCTTCAGGAGTTTATTTCTTCTGTTGAGCACAAAATAATCTGTGTTGGAAAAATGTTGGAAACCTGTAACCAATGACTCCCTACTACGCTAATCAATGATTACAGGTTTTCAACATTCTTCAAAATTTCTCATTTTCAGTTCGGCAGAAAAATTAAACTCCTAAAAAGAACTGCTTGAGAGAGAGAGTAAATAGTGAGTAAATTTTCATTTTTGGGTGAACTATCCCTTTTTTCAAACTTCTAATAAAGGCCAGATGTTAAGTTTGTACACCATCTCATGAACAAGAGACATTTTCCTTCGGCTTAGTCCCTTTATTCATTAGCCACAGCGGAATTAACCACAAACTTATCCAGCATATGTTTTTTAACACAGCAGACGCCCTTTTTAGCTGCAAACTCAGTACTGGGAAACACCCATACAAACTCACATTCACACTCATTCAATACAACCAATTTAGTTCATCAATTCCCCTATAGCGAATGTGTTTGGACTGTGGGGTAAACCGGAGCATGCAGAGGAAACCCACACAAACACAGGGAGAACAGGCAAACTCCACACAGAAACGCCAACTGACCAAGCTGGGACTCAAACCAGAAACCTTCTTGCTGTGAGGCCAAGGTGCTAACCACTGAATTGCCCATTGAACAAGAAGCACAAAGTGGTAAAATTCAATTTCTCAGGTTTTCACACGACACTATAAGAAACAAGATGCTAATATTCATGGAGCTCACAACAAAAACACTGCTTTGAAATTAATCTATATTGCAATGCCAATAATAAAATACAAATAGTGCACAGTGTGATCAATAATGAAATTCAATGGTGATGATAATGCTGCTCATATGAAACAAAATGCTGACAGTTCCATACCTTATTTTCAGAGGTACTTTCCTCTGCATCGAGTCCTTCCAGATCATACAAAGCTGTCTTTTTCAGAGTCAGGTCAGCAGTCAGCGTGCCATCATTATAAGATCTGACGAACTTGAAGTCACTAGTGCGCGAGCCCGTGGTCAGGTATGCGTCATAATTGTAGGCGCTGCGGAGAGTTCCCGCGCCCTCCACCTCTGCGTAATTTGGAGGCAGATACGCGCTGGGAATGGCTACAGCTCCATCAAACAACAGTCTGGGCTTTCTCCTGCGACAAAACCTCACGGCCAGGATGATGATGATGAAGGTCAGGAAGAAAGTGGACACGGACACCAGCGCGATGATCAAATAAAACGTCAGTTTGGAGCTGCTCTCGTCATGAGACATGTCTTTCAGTTCTGGCACTTCAGCCAAGTTATCTGATACAAGTAAATACAGTGCGCACGTGGCTGAGAGAGAGGGCTGTCCGTTATCTCTGACTGACACTATAAGGTTCTGCTTCATGCTGTCAGATTCAGAAATGTCCCGCTGCGTCCTGATCTCTCCGCTGTGGACACCGATAGTGAAAAGTCCCGGATCAGTCGCTTTAATGATGTGATACGAGAGCCACGCGTTCTGCCCGGAATCCGCGTCCACGGCGATCACCTTGGAGACCAGGGAGCGCGCCTGCGCAGCTTTGGGCACCATCTCGGTCATAAAGGAGTTTCCCTCCGGAGAGGGGTATAATATCTGAGGAGAGTTGTCATTCTCATCCGATATGAAGACACTCACGGTCACGTTACTGCTCAGAGGAGGAGACCCGTTGTCTCTGGCTAACACGAGCACTTTGAAACTTTTCATCTGCTCGTAATCAAACGACCTGACGGCATGAATGACCCCGGTGTCTCCGTTAATGGATAAAAAGGAGGACACCGGTGCGCCATTGACATCAGAGGACAACAGAGAATAAACTACAGTGCCATTCTGTCTCCAGTCCGGGTCTGTAGCTGATACTGAACAAATAGAGGAGCCTGCTTTGTTATTTTCTTGCACATGAGCTCTGTAATTCTGCTGCTGAAATACAGGTGGATTATCATTGACGTCAGCTACAGTCAAGTGAATATTCTTAGTGGAAGATAAAGGCGGAGAGCCCTCATCAGTAGCAGTAATTGTAATATTATATTCAGAGAGCAGCTCGCGGTCTAATTCACCTGTGGTCACCAGAGAATAGTAATTTTTGATTGAAGGCACGAGTTTAAATGGGACGTTTTGCTGAATGGAGCAGCGCACCTGTCCGTTATTCTCAGAGTCTCTGTCCTGCACATTAATGATGCCAACCTCTGTACCGGGTAACGCGCTCTCAGGAATTGGAATATTCAGAGATTTTACTATTATTATAGGCGAATTATCATTAACGTCACTCACACTGATTAAAACATTTGAGTAAGATGTTAGACCTGATCCATCTTTAGCTATAATTCGCAAACTAAATGTGGCTTCTTCCTCAAAATCTACTGGGCCTTTTATGCTAATGACACCTGTCTTTCGATCAAGATTAAACAAATGCTTGTAATCTTCCATAATATGCCCAAACTCATACGTCACTTCTCCATTTTGTCCCTCGTCAG